GAAGGAAGGAAGGAAGATCTCTCCTCTGCAGAGGTTTCACAAACTACTTCCTCAAACCTGGAGGGAGGAATGTAGCTTTCCCAGCTGCTACTAAGTTCAAATATTTCTGAGTGTTCCCCAGCTAAGAAATGCTCCCCCTGCCAAATGTGTTTGCTAAAGACTGCATGGCAAAGCAGATGGTGAGTTCCAAAACTTTTCTTAAAAATAATTCCTTTTATCATCTGAGGAGAAAGAGAGTTTGGTTTCAGACATGCAGTACACCAACAACCAGACAGTAGGAACACTTACCCATTGCCACAGCAGTGCTTGCAGATCCTTACTTGCTTTCAGATAGTAGCTGATGTTGATGTTACTGCGAAAGGCAGGACACAGTTCTCRCTATTAAGGATTTTTTTTCTGGAAAATCCAACAGAATCTTCCAATCAGTAAGCAGGATAAGAATTGAAAAAAGGCCAGGTGTACTGCAGATCAGTCTCTTCCATCTCCCATTTCTCTTCAGGCAAACACTTGAATCAGAAATGTCAAATGTTCACACTGAATACTGGATTGGTGAGAGGTCTTTAGGGGTATGAGGCTGATTTCTACATTTTGGCTTTACAGAAGACAAAGCTCTCCGAGAAAGCTGATGTAAAAAGCTATTGCTCATGTAAAAGCAAAGCAATCTATATCTAACAGCTCTTTACACTCTTTTAGAAATACTTGCTGAAGTTGCTAACTATGATTGCAAGATAATGATCTCTGTCAAGTATATATTGCAAAGCTGCACGTAAAGCAAAACAAACAAACCAAAAACAACAAAAAAAAGTAAAAATGTCTTACCATACTTCAGGCTCTTAAAAGTCCAAGGAATTTTTTGTTGGTGGTGGAGAAGGGGAGGTGGGGAGCAGGGAGGGTCATTGAAGCTTCTTTTCCCCCCAAACAGGACATCATATGAGAAGACGTTAACATATTGTATGAGAACACAAGATCATATAAGAACATGTTTTTGCAATTTATATTTAGATATGCTGTGCTATCATTCCATACAGATCCAAAGAACTTGGATTCTTTTTGTTGAAATCAGCTGCTTTACAAGCACAATAAGATCAGCTGTAAATTTTTTTTGTCTCAACACTGCTTACAAAGTCATTTCATATAAACAACAATAGCAATTTCATTTTGTGTAAGTCTTCTTAAAATATGCTAGAAAAAGTTCACACTCCAAGGAAAAAAAAAGTTAGACATTAGAGCAATAATTTACATTCTTAGTTTATAAGCTGATAGTCATTGGCAACAACTGGAAACAGGCTGTCCCTCTTGACAGAACAGTGACAGGAGGTACATTCATTAAAATAGCTATAGCCATCAACACAGTCTGCATAAGCAAGCTCTTAGCACACAAGGCCTGGAAACAGGATGGCAAACTGGAACAGAGGAAGAACTGTCTTCAGTCCACAGAAAAAAATGCAGCAGTAGCTGATTACTATACAGTGTGGCATGAGGTTTTGAGACTCATTACATATCCTCTTAAGAATTCTTTGGACAATATCTTTCCACTAAAAAAAGACCCATTCATGGAGGGAGGAAATTACAAGCTAACATCCTTTCCACTATTTCAAGCGCAGAGGTTTTAAGAACTCATCAAGAAACAYTTTTTCTGCATCCCTATCCCCTTCCCCCTTCTCAAAATTCTCTGAATTATTTGGAATCTGTTTTTCATCTCACTCAAAAGCCAAACCAGCAAAAATCTCAATGGCTCCAAGATGACTGCACTTGATCCCCCATAAAATGCTCTCTCTTTCTCTCCCCTCCCTCATTACTCACTTTCTATCCCAAAGATGAGCGTAAAACTTCACCAGTCCTACCTGGTGAAGTGTCACCAAACAAAATTGCCACCTGCACCCTCTTGCTCATGCTCCTCAAGTTGTAGGCCCTCCAAGTGGCTATATGATACTTGTTTTCATATGGTGGCCCCAATTCTAGGAAGTCTCTACATACAGCCTTTAAAAAAAAATAAAGCAGCAGCCTATGGTGCCCTCAAACTGTATAATACACTCTTGTTTTATTCAGGCTCTTTCAAAGTTATGCCCAAGAAGTTGCATGTAAAACACACCATTTGCTACAAAGTCATTCCACGTTTCAATTTTCCAGTCACTGGGAAACAGGCAACAGCGTCATACTGAAAATTTGAGGAGAGCTAGTGGCTGAAGTCAGTGAAATCTGTTCTGCTTTCAGTCACAGCAAAGAAAATCAGAACGAAAAGGACTCCACAGGAGCCAGCACAGAGCGACACTGATGAAAATAGAACTAAGACTGTTCAGACCAAACTGGCACTCCAAAGATCTGCCTGTTTGAAGAATCAGTGTTCCATAAATCATCTGATTTATTATACTTTCTCAAGTGAAAATTTGCTAAGATGGATTCAGAAGGAATCTTACTTAACTCGGTTACCGTTATCTGAATTTGAAGTGCCAAAATGCCTTAAAACAGTCAATTTACCTCATTATTTAAAAAGTTAGTAGTACCATCTTAATTACTAGAAAAACAAAGACTTACTGTAATGTTTACACAATTTAAGATGCTGCAAAAACATTCATCAATCCTCATAGCTTTATCATCTGTACTTTATTAATCAAGTAATTGCTACAGGAAATTGCAGTTGACTTGGGATGCTTTACCGAAATTGGGGAAAACATGGGGTTAAAAAAACCCAAAGTCCTGGTGCTGTTCAAGTTACGCTGCATCAGCTTAATGTCCTAACCTAATGTCCTTTTCACCGCTCTCACACACCACCTGTTTCTTCCACTGTTGCTAGAATATTGACTGGCCAAGAAATTCTACAGCTTCTAAAGACTTTGGCTGCTGCAATCTCTTTTAATAGCCATAATATTGAAATATATTTTCAAGTAGCATTCACAGTCCAGACTGGTTAAATCACATTTTCATTTGCTTACAAACAAGTTGTAGCTGGATCTTAAGCTGATTTTTTTTTAAAATAAAATTCTGTATTTATAGACAGTGTAAAGTGTACTTTCAAAAGACTTCTAGGTAATCAAAACCAAGCAAACAACCAAACGCCATCAAAACACATTTCTCGCTGTGAAGTACAAAAAAAATTGCTGTTACACTTTTAGGGACAAACTGCAACCGCATCTCCAGAAAGAGCAAGAACGAAACTGTTTCACTTGAGAAACTATAAGAATCAGCTATGGTCTTGGAGTCTGCAGATTTATACACTCAGAACACTTGTCTTTCAGTTTGCAATGTCAGGCACAGCAGCAAACAAACAAATCTCTACTGTGATTAGACATCATATTTCATAAGCCTCCCAAGTTCTGTAATTCATTCAAGTAAGAAATTAATTCTGAGATCACCTCTCCATAAAACAAGCGAAGAAGATGCCACGTGCTCCAAAGTCCTGGAAAGTCGGGCTTATGCCACGCTTCTCCTCCCAAAGGGCTGTGAAAATGCTAAGGGGGCATCTCACGGAACACACAGGTTTTCAGGAGTAGGCTCCTCATTTTGGTCGTGAATGTATTTGGTCCAAGCAGAGTTACGAAGCACAGAGTACTTGGCTGCCAGCCATCAAGGTGAGAGAATGTTATCTTCAGGAGTGCCCTCCTAACACCACCTAAGTCACCCAAGGATCCAAGCCTTCTTTCTTTTTCTTTTTTACATCAGTTTTAAAACCCTGTTTATTTCAGCGTGTTTTTAAGTCACTTAAAGGACTGATGGAAAGAGGAAATACAGCTCTTCGGACATATGGCTCAAAGTAAGAGCTTGAATATTTTCCTCCTCCATCTCTGATATCCAACCCACAAATATTCTCCATTGTTTTGTAAGTAGATAAAAAAGGACCTTTCCCTGTGTTAAATAAACATTAATGTTCTCTGAGTAACAGTGCTCCCCCGAGTGAGCTCCGTGCTAGAGTGAGTCCTCATCTGTTTCAATGTCACTGCTTGGTTTGTTCAGTCTCTCAAATTCTTCTCCATCCTATATGAATCAGAAGCAAAAGGAAACAGTATGAGTGAACATCACCCTGTTACAAACACAAAAAATAAACCTAAAGAGGAGGCAGAGGAAGCAGATTGCTTTTAAGAAGTCTCTTCTATAAATACTACAATCTTGCAATTCAAACTTTTTGTAAGTATGTTAAAATCTTTCTTCAGGATATACATGGGATGCTTGTTGTGAACAGGTATTTGTAATACTTTTTAGTGACTTTCTTGCTGAAACAGCTTGTAGTCCATTCCTTCCCGGAAACCCCACTCACACTGAACTGCCTGTTTTTATTACAGCTGCTGAATTGCGAGTGTTAAAATATACAATGCCTGGTATACCAAAAATAGATGATATGTTATCTGCTGCTTGTTAAAAAACACTCTAAAAAAGCACCATAAGATAGTGCCAGGAAACATGATTTTCCCAACTAAATATTCCCTAGGATTAAATGAAGACAGCACTCTCTGCTGGTAGCAAACTATGTTTACAGAGCACATATGTACATGCAGACACACGCACAAACACACTACCCATCCCCTCTCAGACTGACTTCTTAGCTCAGTTGAAAGAGATGGTGAACAGCAAACCCAGGCATGTCCTAGTTGTTTTGATAACTGTTTGAAGAAGGGCAAAGACAATGCAAAGACCTAGAGGAAATGGCTCATAGGAACAATCATGTTAAAAATCTGTGTAAGAATTACCTTTTTGTCTTCACATATCATTGAATGTTAATACAGAAAGAATTTTAACATTAAATTTACTACCTTCTTTATGGTGTGTGCACAGCTATACAGATGAGATCTACTTCAGTATAATTAGTTCCTAGATTTCAGTTTTAATTCCTGGATGCCCAGTGCCAGTAGACGTTCCTTGATAAAAGTTTCAGGAGAAAATCTGTACTAAGCTGAAGTTGCTCACAAGATTGTCTACAGACACATCAAAAAAGCAGGGCTTAATTTAGGTGGAATGGAATGGAAGAAATGGAATATGCAAAGCAAAAAGCTATTATTTAAAAGATGTAACCAATATTGAGGAATTTGGGTATTTCAGTTCTGTCACGTGTGCAGCAGATTTTTCAAGCATTCCAAAGCATAAACAAAGGTGAAATACGAGAGGGAGCAGAGAAGACAAGTACTGAAAAGCCTTACCCCGCTTGACCTTTCCCACGTGTCTCCTTTGAAGAGTTTGCCCCTGTCCCGCAGAGCGGCGCATTCCAGGCCCCGCCGTTTGCTGGCATTGTAGATGAAGATGGAGAGAAGCACTATAGGGGCTTCCAAAAAGAACTCCAGGGAAGGCCTGAAGTCAAAGATGACGAAAGAGACCGCAGTGATGATCACAGTGGTGACCTGGGCAGTCATCACGTGGAACATGTTGTCGCGGAACTTCAAGATGAAGGCCACGGACAGCCCCAAGAAAGCAGTGACAAATATAAGAGCCACCGAGAAGATGTTGTGCCCGTAAAAGAAGCCACAGCTGCCTATCAGCCTCCGGTCCTTGGCCTGCAGCCCCAGCATGAGCCCATTGAACATCACCCCAAACACGTACAGCTTACTGTTCTGCACGAAGATGCTCTCACCAGCCTGGGCCCCGTCTTTCAGGATCTTCTCGTTGTAGATGTTAGCCAGGGCAGAAATGAAGCACTGCACTAGGATAAGCAGATGGCCCAGGCTCAGRCGGAGAGGTTTCAGTGCTCCTGCGACAGTAGTGGTGATGTTCCACTGAAATCTGGGGAGGAAGCTGGGTGCCTCACAGCTGCCCTTTTCCGGGCATGTTTCCTCAGGTGCAGCATAGAGAAGGCAATGGTTAGAAGGCCTAAAAAAGGCGCTGTGGTGGAATCCGTGCGTGGCTAAGCTGTGCTGGTGGCCTCCAGTCCCCAAAGTCAGGGCAACGATGGACAGGAATAAGATCACCAGAGATGCCCACTGTACCCAAGACAGCTGTCGCCTGGAGTAGACAAAAAAAAGCCACCACATTGGCAGAAATTAAATGACAGAAAAACAAACCCAATAAAACACACAAGAGACACCACACTACAGAAAACAAGAGGGAGACAAGCACAAAATAGCCTTTCTTCTTCAGTATCAACAATAAAATGCCAAAAAGCAGTGTGCTTCGCCCTAGACTACGGGGGCTCCAGCTTAGCAACTACAGAGTGAGGGCAGGAGAATTCTGTACAGAGAATTTAAGGAAGGACTTCCAAGTTCATGACAATTCCAGACACTGACTGCCCAACAAATAAATGCATCTCTTCTACATGGGAACAGAGTTTTGATGGATAAAAGGAAGTCAAAGACAAGTCACGCAATTTGCATTCAATTCAGAACCGCAACAGACTGAAAAGTAATATTTCACGAAACATGAGATGAATGTACAAATGAAGGTACCCAAACCTGATTCTTAACTCTGACCATCTAGTAATTAAATAATTATAATTTCAGTTTCTTTCCATTACAGATAACTGAATTTGGAGAGATGTAAGATACTATTTCCAGCACTTCCATACACAGAACAAAGTCATCTCTCCAAGCCAGTACGATCACAAGAAAACAGATTAGTCTCACTGATAAACAGAGAAAAATCCAGCATAATTTCTTCTCTAAAGATAGAATAATGAAATTTGACATTTACTAAGTACTACTTACTTTAGCACTATTCTGAAGAGAAGAGCCGTTGTTATAATGACAAAATTTGAGAAGAGTACAGCCATTGCCTATAAAGAAAAGCAGGGGAACAAAGTTACTCCAGATATAGGGTGAATATCAAAAGCCCATCTGCTCAGAAAATTCATTTTGCCAGGAATCACAGGGGAAAGGATCACCATGGAACAGAATTTTCTTCCTTACCCAAGTACTAAMAATGAACGAAATGAAGAAAATTCTAAAGCCCCTGTCTAATTTGGGAATAAGCCTATAATAATGATATTGTCATAACCCCTTGTCATGATCCCAAGCTGCAAACACCTTGAAACAGGGATTGTCTTTTTGGAATTTTGTATCAGCTGACAGGTATTTAGATATGTGATTTATCATTTACATTTGTTTCAGCATGATAATAACAAAAATCCAGCAAATCCTTACAAAGCATATCCAGACATACAAGCTGTGCTTTTTATCAAGAGATCACTTTAACCAGGCCAAATCAAATTGCTTCAAGAAAGCAATTGTGTTGATGTGGTCTTTCAAACATCACGCTTTGCTAATGCTATAGACATTATAGCTGAATTTTCTTCCCAAAGGAACAATAACACTGTCCATGTTATTTTAAAATGTCAAAATTGTTCATTTTAATCAGATTTTCCCAGCCAAGTTCTTTTCCAGACTCTCTTCTGTCCCTGCCAGAAATGTGCACCTATTTTAAAGCAAAAGTCTACAAAAACGTGAACAGAAATATTTATATTAATCTGTAATGCTAAACAGGGGTAGCCACAGTATTTTACAGTGAGCACTAATCATCTGTGTCCATTTAACTTGAAACAGATTTTGAACTAAAAAGAATCCCAATATTGAAAACAAAAAGCACCAACACTGCATTATTTCTTAAGAATATGTGTAAAACCATCCACAAAAGGCCAAACGTAGTTGCAGAAAGGATCAATTAAGTTTCATGTTTAAAGGTAACTAATAAATAAATGTAAACATTAGGGAGGGAGGAGGAGAGAAAGGTAAATGTTTGACTCCTATTAGGCTCACTTACATTGGGAGGTTGCCTTTGGAATTAGTGAGGAAAGAAAATAAGTCATCAAGTCATCACATGAAGTTACATAGAGACAGATGATAGTTGCACAGAAAGGTTCAACAAGATGGGTAAATGCATTGGAAAAGAAATAGAGGGACCAAAAAAAAAAAAAAAAGAAAACAATGAAAACGCCATAAGCTTCCCTAGTGCTTAAGGAATTCAGCCTATTGCTAAATCACTTAGGAATGAGAAATCCAAAGGTGACCCTCCCCTCCTGAGATCTGTAAAACAGAAATCAGCAGGCAGCAGAACGGAAAGGTCTAGCTGGTCAGATCAGTCATTTAGCTACAAAACTTGCTGTGCCTACTTTACAACTGCAGACTGTTGAAGGGCAATGTTATGACTCAGGTATTTGGAAGATATTTTATTCAGTATACATAGACTTACAGGTTGRAGGTAGGAGAGGACGTAGAAGACAATCAGGTTATCCAAAAAGTAAAGAAAGGCAGGAATTGACCATTTCATGGAATCACAAAAATTCTTCCAGGAGAGACATTCAAAGTGATGATCCAAACAACCCTCTGAAAGRCAAAGAAGTTAGACATCACTCTCATCACCGAAAGGCCATTCCAAACCCCTCATAACAGAACACATAACTATTCTGATTCTAGGAGCACTACTTGACTAAAAAAGCCCAGATACCACAGCCCTCTGGCAACATACAGGACAGATCCAAGGCAGAGCATACAGCCAGAGCAGCAAGTCAATCTCTGTGGGCATTTACCTCCTTCCTTCAGCAGAGAAACCACCAAGGAACCTTCTACCCCCATCAGAGTATTTGTTCACTGGGAACAAAAATGAGATCATCAATCATTCCTTAAGGGCCAGAAATCACCCCAAAAATTACCATGCAATAGATCATTACTATGTAAATTTCCGATAATCATCAATCATGTCTAGATCTGAAACAGTGACCCATACTACAGACCTGTTCATTCATTACCCAAAAGGCAACCAGTAACGTCAGAGACACCAAAATAAATCAGAAGTCAGTATTTATATCACACAGCACACAATCTAGGTCAAAGGAGAAGATATGCCAAGCACAAAGAAAGGACAAGGCACAAAGACTGCCATTTGCTTAGGTATTTAGAACACATAGCTTAAAAGTAAGGTTGTGTTAAACATTAGACTACCCTAGAGTCAATGACAAAGGAACTTTGTTAACAGAGACTTAAAACTACACAATTTATCTAATCCTCTTCTGGAATGTCAAGATATTGAGTTTACCAGAACTCAAGATGTCTAGAAAAAAGAAATAAAAACAAAAAACAAAAAAAAAAAAAAAAAGGATTTAAGAAAATGTGGACTCAACAGTAGTCAACACTGTAAATCATATTCACTCTTCTAACTGGTATCTGTCCTAAACATGAGAGAGAAAAGTTTCATTATTCTGCTGGAATCATGGCTGCTACATGGAGAAGAGGATGGAGCAGAGAAACCAGTAGCCAGTAAAGCCCAGCGCTGCTTTTGCTAAATAGACAGCAGTCCCAATATTTCTCTTCACAAAGTTACACTGAGTTGTAGCAGCAGTTTTGAAGAAAAACGACCAAAATGCCAGAAGATAAAGGCCTAGMGTTGGGACATTAAATAAAGTTCTGTCCAGTCCTTCTGCAAAGATGTCTTTGAGGGGATTCATGTCATCCTGGCCTAAGCAGGCATTAACTCTGAAAAAGTCAGGCTGTATCAGGAAGGTTGACTTCCTATTTCAGCTTTCTTGCTCCCATTTCAGCTATCATATATATGTAAAAACTATATATATTTAAATTAGTTATAATTTCACATGGAAGACATAATCCCAGCAAACATTACTAGCAGAACCTACTGCAAGCTACCCTAAGTGAATCTGTCACAGAAGGAAAAATAAAGCATTTGAAGAATAAGAAATCTGAAAGTCAGCATATTAGAATGATTTTACACACACGTGCTTACCTTTTTTCTTAACCCATAGTGCCAATATCACACACAGCACCAGTTTTACCACTTCAGAACATATGTTCACTGTCGTAGGAAGGTAATCGTATTTGTTATCTGTGGGATTCAATAAATTATAATGAATACACAATCAAATTCTGCATCTTGAATGCACAATTAAAGCAAGAAACCATTTCAACCCCTCCTGTTATACTTTTATCTACTTTCCAGAACAGGCCATGTCAGAGCTTAAATCTTTGATTAAAGATTTCTTTGATGATATGCAACTTCCTGAACATTGACCTTTTGAGGCTTGAAATTCTTTCCTGTTTGGTCTCAGTTTACAGTAGAACTGTTTGAAAGAGGCCAAGGGCACTGCAGTTCTAAAGGATTTTTTGAAAGCCAGTGCTTTTCCCAAAATAGCAATATGCTATTTTTTTCTCCATAAGGAAAAGGCTTTAATTCTTGTTTTAGACTTCTTTTTTTTTAATTAAGAATCACTTCACACACRCATTGCTAATACCTTCTGAAAGAAGGAGCAGTAACTTCAGGACAGTTACTGCATCCAGACTATTGCACCASTCTCCTCTGAATCTGCTGTGAAACGAACAGTCAAGATAAGCACCACTGACAGCGTTTACACAACAACCTCGTTTTTGTAAATGAGTTCCAAGGCAACCCACTGCCTGATGAAGATCCATGTGGAACAAGCAAGCACCTTGCAACTTCACGTCAGACTCAATGACAGCACAGGCGTTTCCACTATAGAAAAATCTCTCCCAGTTCAGATAATGGAAAAATTATGCTAATAGCTCTACAGGCATAGAATTAGACTGGGGGGCATCTCTTTTATCCCAAAGGTCAGCTCTTTCTCATGTGGGATACACTGCGTGTTCACTGCTCAACACCACCTTCATTAGCAGAATACTTCATCAGGAGGATTCGGCTCGAGCCCAGCGCAATAAACACCCCTCCCAGCAGGAAGGTGTGGATGGTTGTCCTGGAGCAAAACACACGTCGACTCCAGCACTTGGTCTCCATTCTGCTGCCCTGCTGTCAGCGCCCTTTGAACAACAAAAAGAAAAATGTGACGGAAACAGAACTTCCAGGAGCTGATGAGACAAGTTAAACGCATTTATTTGATTGGATTTTGTGTTATATAARAAAAATATATACTTTGCAAAACAGGGGGAGTGGAGTAGAAG